CAATCAATAATTCGTGCTCGTATAATTCTTAGAGAATTAAATGATATTGATATAATTAGATAATCTCTCTTCGTTACTGCATCGCTTGCTAAAAGCTCATTTGCACTCTCCAATTGATGCATGTATATTACAGTTATATAACCAATAATTACTTCCTATATGGTTGAGAGTTAACCACGCGAGATCGATTCTGCAATCGCAGCGACGATGTCGCGTTACATTGTAATGAATTACGCAATCGATATTCGATGCCGCGATGCAAATTACGGCGTTGACGATATACCTACGCCCCTTATTCGCACATCTGCAAACCGACACGATGATGCAGCGATACAAGGACGAGCGGAAATAGAGACTGAAGGCGAGAATGAAGAGCGGAAATCTCTCGGAGAATCCATGACAAACGGATGCGTTCTGCCCGAACATCATCAGCCCGAAAACAAATCACAAAAAGGAATCTCCGAAAATAGCCAACACTAATTAAGCATATACATAATTTAGACTCTGATGTAGTTTTAAGTGCACTGCATTTTATTCTTTTTGTCAATCTGCTGTATTTTGTCATAAAGATACAACATCTGCTTGATTACGTTCAATTATTTTGGTCGTTTAAGCATTAAGAAATTAGAAAACGCAGCGTGACAGAATTACAAACTATTACAAGTAAACGATTGACATTGAAGTCCTTTGATCTTTCATTTGATCTAACCAGATGAAATCTCGAATTAACAATCTTCATCGGTATGTCACAATTAATCATCTCTTTCTTCAGATCACATCAGTTTATTTTTTTCTACTTTCTCTGATTCTGATAAACGTATATTATAAGCAATTTCCTTATATGTGACATGAAATAGAATAAAAAGAATCATGTTATTCTTCGATAATTCGCTAAAAAATCGTTAGAAAATAATTTGTTCCCTTCGACGACTCACTTAGGAAATATTATCCACTGTACTATTTCGTGTCAGCCTACTCAGGATTACATATCTACTATTTTAGGTATCACCATCGCGAACACGCGACGAATAAAAGGTAACAAGCATTCCAAGAAGTTTCACTTACATCTGGTAAAAGAATAAAGTTTAGCCGTAATGGCTTTTGCGTGTGTTAATAAAGTAAACAGCGGCAAAGTGTGGCCGCAAAACGTATGAAAAAAATGTCAGACCACATTTGGAGAACAAAAACACTTTTAAAGAATATTCTATAATAGTTCATTTTTATATGATGATCCAAGATTTAGCCGGTTATTTGTATAGATTTCAATTAGAAGAGCCAAAAAAAGGCAGCAAGAATTAATTTAATGAGCACATACCATAGTATTTCTCTCATTGGATGGCAAGAAACATCAAGCCGATTGTCATATCGATTGTCAGATTTTTTTTTTACCGTACACATATACGAAGAATGCAGTCTTCGTTGAAATAATAAGGTCAATGAATTTTCTTCCACATAACTCCAGTCGACGTATGCGAAACGTCTGGCATATAAAGTCTAATCTAAGGCGCGTATCTTGGTACCATCATGGTGCAACCAACTATAGAAACTCACGTCGATACTCCCTCTTCTCTCGTAATAAGGATGCACTTTTTCGCATAAAATAGCAAGAAATTGACGGTAACTGTAAAGTGTAAATTAATTAACATTTCAATCGATAAAAATACCTTTATGAATTGTATCTATATATAGAGAGAAAGCAAAGATGCAATGCAAACTTTGAGCGGTCGAGAACAATTTTGACTCTAGATTGACGCCAATTTTTAATAGTATTTTCTTATTTTATATATTTCATACGTACACAATAAAATGCTCTTATAAAAAAATTATACATATTATTATTCCTTTCTTCGCATTATCAATATATCTATAGCAGATATACGTTGCTACTCTGTGAAATAAAAGTCCGGTATATCTATGGACAGGTAAAATAGAGCGCTCAAATGCTCCTGAATAGTCCTGAATGTATATCTGGATGTCAATTTGATGTACGTTTAAACAATATTTGATAATAATAGGGCAATGTGCATATGTGCAATGATTTGGTGCAATGTATTGTGCGTACGATATCTATACAGATAATCTTAAAACGTGTATGATTCGCCCTCCGTGATTTTTCCTTTGTACAGTGATTCAATACGTTAATATTTTCTTTTCCCCTTCTCTCTCTCTCTCTCTCTCTCTCTCTCTCTCTCTCTCTCTCTCTCTCTTTCGTTTAATATTCTTTTATTATGTGTGTCAGTCATCTGCATTGTTCTTCGCGTATATGCAGCCGTATTGAATGACGAAGCGACGACTTCTTTATATCGTTTGCCTTCTCAAGGAGTTTTATGAATGGAAGAAGAACACTTGTTTCTGCTTCTTCTGTTATTAAACAACATTCTTGCGAGAACAATTTTTTCAAAAATTTTTCGTAATATTTTTACATAAAATAATTTTCTTTATGTCTGTAACATATGTATACATATGATTTTCCTAGATATTTATGTTTTTCTTTTAAATATTAAACAATTTCAGATATATAAACTGAATTATATTATCTAATTTGGAGGTACACGGGTGATCAAAGTGAGACAATGACGATACAATGAAGATACATGATTGATAACGAAATTGTAAGATAATATCAGACGAGATTATATTAGTAATGGTACAAGTATCAATATCTTATGATGCTATTTATAAGCTAGATCACTTCCTCACGGCACTCGCCAAACCATCGTTCAATTAAGTACCGTTATCTTTATACAACGGTTATGCCTGCTGCCGATGATTGGTTACGCGCTACTAGTACAATACTTTTACACGTACATTGGAATTATGCGCGCAATTCCGAAGCAAATTAACTCAACGGGCAAGTGACAAAGATAACAATTTTCGTAGATAAACATTTTAAACTTATAAAAAGTTTTAACTCTTTTCTTTTATTTGCTATTCTAAATATTCAAAATAAGAAAAAAAAAAAAATAAGAACGGTGAAGAGTGAGCTATATTTCGAGATACATTAAATTGATTGATCCTTGTATCTTTTGAATTTAGATAGTATATACCAGAGCATTTATTTGACTTGATCACCACAAACTGGTCTCACTATGTATGCCTCGCTAGATCGTTGCAATACGATGAATTTGCTTGTACAACACGCGTAAATGCGTAAACTTCAACACAACCGTTCTTACATGGGTTCTAAATATAAATAGCAATAGTAAGCCCCTAATGCATCCTTTCGCTACTTCCACCTTCTCTCCTCCTTTCATCGTACGTACAATGAGCAACGTGATGTCCGGTAAACAAAGTGTTCACGCCCACAAATGTATTATATCTACACAAATCCAATCTGAACCCTACGCGCGTTCAGGCGTACTATTATACATAGAAATGTGCACACGCCTATTCGTGGTCCACTTGTTCTGTCTACTCGCCACTCGTCACAGCGCGAGTAAACGTACATGTGAAATAACAATCATCTTAGGATTAATTAGACAGCGCCGAGACATTGCTGTATCTCCTCTTCTGATATAGGTACATATATATTATTACGGACTAAAGCAAAATCTAAGATATGTTTTTAAATAATATTTAAAAAACTAGAATCTGTATGTAATAAATATTATATAATAGCATATCAAAAACACAGAATAATCAAAAAGGAAAATGGATAAAGTACAAAAAAGTATTAATGTATAAAATACAATATTAAAATATCATATTTCCAACAAGTTATCAATACCTTAATGTCAGTTAAGAAAAATACTATTCG